CATATTTTTTTCATGAGGGTGTAATGAGATAGAAATGCGACAAACACAAGACTATCAAAACGCACCGTGCTTGGGGGAGGGCTGTACAATCCCTCAAATAAAATTACAAACCTTCGCTTCTAATTTCTTTTCTCTTCATTGTTACTTGCTTACAAGCTCACAATTATCCAAGTACGGGTAACGGACCAATCATGAAATACTTCGCGCATACTCTTCCATCTATGGATACCTTCCGAATTCCAAGAAAGCGAAAAACTCATAAGCAAATCTATCCTGACTGGAATACCTCATTTTTCTGAGAAATAACGGCTAAATGGAGTACATTATGTACTGTAATGACTGAGATAGCTGTTGGAAACTGCGGCAGGAATTTGTAGATAGGATGTACGGATGAAGGATCTATACTTACAATGCAGATCCATATTTAAAATCATTCAACATTACTTGAATTGTTCGAGGGATCCTTCTTCTGAAACTGGCTGAACCAGGATCCTTGCACTTTTACACAGAGCGGGGATCCTCATTTGTGTTTCTAGCACACCTTGAGTTGGATTCCCTTTGGAAAATTGTCTATTGTTTTGAATATAGAAATTGAAGTTGATATTGAAGGATTGTACATTTTGGAAATAATCTGCGGAGTAGAAAATCGGTCTCCCAGCTGCAGCATCTGTTCTAAATTTCCGGGGTGGCTATTTTGGTCTTTTGTGTTGTTTGGCTCAAATTGGAGACGTTGTTTTTCAAGGTCTGTGTTTTTCCTGACCAGATGGTCCAAGATGTATTTCAAGAATGCCAACTTGTTTTGACTTTAAGAAAACCCGACAAGCGCGTGAAAAGGGCAGGAACATCTGGCTTTGTTGTACTTGGAAAACTCACCCCTTTAATTTGGGAAGGAAAGATAGCAATCTCCCAGGTCTCCAACCCCAGGAAGGGGGCGGAAGCGCGCGCCGCCAAAGGGGCGTTATCTGATCCCCCCTGCACATGCGCAATCCCCCTCTTTCCACTGCCCGCGTTTGAACCAGGGGACTGATATGAAAATTCATTCTGCTCTCTGCCTCAACTGGGGGTTGACTCGGATATTTTCGAGCCCAAATTTTTACTTGTGCATTTTTTTGTGAAATTATTTCTGATATTTTTATTTTGCGAGTTATTGTGTGTATTATTGCCGCGCATTTAGGACCTCCTTTCAAGTTGTCATATGTTTTTTTAGATCTTGTTGTGGCTTGTACGGATGGAATTTTTTCGAGTCTGTGTCTGACGTTTCGTCATGTTGTATAATTCCAGGCAGGGACGAGAAACCCTAATTCCTTTTGCAAATATTGTACTTGCACTTCGAAATTGTGTGTGAAGTACTAACGGCTCTGTATGCCAAAACTGTGTCCAACGTGAAAATAAAACCGTTGTGAATAGCTGTACTGGCTAAGTTCACCTTTCATTTTGGCACCAATCAGCAAGGGTTATCCGCCTGTCTCCTTCAAAATCGCAATCGCCCTGAGGACGTTACGAACCCTTGACAGGGCGCAGGATCAACTCGTCTCCGGATTTGTAAAATCAGCAAACCAGCAACATCAACATCTTTGCGCGTTTTGAAAGATCGACGCAATAAATAACACCAATCGGTGCTGTAAACCTTGGCTGGTTGTGAACTTCAAGTTTGGATCTTTCATCAATTGTATGCTGCCAATAGAATAATGCGAAATGTGGGTTCAATTCGTCTGACTAAGCACAAATTATCCACTGGTGGTTAGCGCTTTATGCCTGTTCAGAGCTGTGAGCGGTGCTCATCAAAACTCAATTCCACAGGATTTACATCGATAATTCAAATGCCCTACTGTTTGCTTATACTGTACCACGTACCCTTGGGCAAAACACGCGCAACACGTTTGTAGGAAGGAAACTAAGAATTGAAAAATGTAACCTCTAATAGTAGTTAACACAATTTTAATTAATATGAGACGCTAATCTAAATTTTCCTTACAAATTTTAGAAGAGGGGCGCATGTCGGACCACTAAATGCGATTAAGGCGGTTACGTTATGCAAGCATCAATGAAAATTTCATGAACGCGCCTCTCGGCCTTTATTAATTCAGGATGGATCCATTGTATTTAGCCGATGGATCCTTCTTGGCCTCGCACGGAATATACAGTACACTAATACGCAGTTGAAAGCTGAGATTACTGTACATGGAACGAATATTTTTTGGCAAGTTCTCTGACTCGGAAATAAAACGCATGTAAAATTTTCTGGAATATTTTCCATTTTTCGAACATACAGTACAGTAAACGAAAGTCATAAGCCTTGAAAGCGCGAGAACATTTTTTCCTTCAACATAACTTTCAGAATTGTTACTCACTTATCAAAAAATATGAAGGATACCGCACCAAAAATGCAAAAGAAATTTCGTTTTGCTCATTTGCTTGGAGCTACAGTATTCGCACAGCTAAAATTAGCTCTTCACGTTCCAAAATTTTTCCAAAAAGCTCCTTTATTTTTCAGTTTTCGACACTGAAACTTAAATTTGACCAAACTTGGGTTACGGGAAGGTAAATCAAAGCAACAATTCTTCAGTGAGTGACAAAATTCACCATCTAATCAATGATGCGCTCAGCAGGTTCATTGTCATAATGCGAAAAAATTCCACGAACTAAGAAACAGGAACAATAGCTTTTCCGGCTTTGAAAATGAAATCATTTTACCATTTGACTGATTTGAGTTACTGTACATTGATCCTTAATTCCTGATCCATCAACACTTTCGCTCATTGGCATAGAAAATGTTCTCGGTAAATTTGATCAGGAAATCACTAAGCCTATGAGGATAAAATCCCTTCTACATTCGTACTTTCATTGTTTTTTTTTAATCCATCCATTTTTTTTTCAAACTGTGGGCAGCTTCAACTATATTGGAGTAAGCCTCAAAAACCACCTCGGGAACGGGCGGACAATGCTTGTGACAACTAAGGCCACGTCAGAAAACTTACGAAAATACCTCGGTACTTCAATTCGGGATACCGGGAAGCGTCTACGAAAGAAACGCAGTAACAAGTACTGTATAGATGAGCGATGTTGTTTCATAAGCAGTTTGTGGAGGTATTGTGTTATAGTGGCATTATTCGGTTCGTTCTTTCCCGCTGCCGCATGTAGGAAACAGTCGACATCACTCGGACCACACAGCATCGCAGGGGCAGGTCGTGCGATTGGGTATGATCATGATGAATGGAAGCGTGAGAGAAGCTCTCCGTGCACGACAGCTAGACTCCGGAAGTTCGGGCAGACCATCTAGAAATCACAGCCACGCATTACGAGCTTTTTTGCCAAGAGAAAAGCTTCAGTGTTTACATCGCCGTACTTTTCAGATCCTCGGTAACATTCCTGAGAAAATACAGTATCACAACTATAACATTCTTCAGGACTAGTGTACTGGACGATTTTTCCGCACTCAATGATTCAATGAATTCACAAGTGCTTCATCACTTAGCGAATACCGAACAAGCCGGTGGAAACATGTTTATACAGTATTGTATATGCTAAGATAAGCCGATAATCCGATCGACTGGGTCCCGAGAAAACATGAAATCATTGTAAAGCTTCAAAAAACAGCATTTTTGAAACGTGGAAAAACTGTATTATTCATGAAATACGCACATGTTCTTTCTTTACGTCGAGTACGATAGTTTGTTTATTTTTCATCGCTCGTCGTGTCGTTTTCCCTTTCAATCCTTCAATGAAGTTCACTTCACTGCAGTGCACCGTATGAACGAGATTTTCCGCGCCAGAAGTTGCGCAGCATAGCTGCTCTTCCATTCGAATCAAATTCATTTTAAGAACCATTGCTCATCGTAGTCTTCACACGCAACGAGAAAACCTCGTGATTTATCGATTGGATGTGGTGTAAAACGAAAAAAATTCTAAGCAGGGTAGTCTCCTTTATTTTATTTTATTCAATTTTCATGGGCGATGTTCCAATGGTGGTTCGTCACGCTGTTATTGCATTTGATCATTCAATATTTTAAACAATGCATGAAGATTACAGAATTGGTCACCCGGAAAAAATCTACATAATGCACAGTATTGGGTATACTTAAATTCAACACTAGTGTATTACGTTTCTCACTCAATGCTGAACCTACGCACTATTCAGTCGGCAAATTTTCCACGGGGGAGCAACGTTACATTAATTATGAGAGGCGAGGCGGGAAAGCCTGGGTTGAACAGCATGTCTATTGGCCAGTACCGTACATCGGAATTTCAGAGATGCTAGTACAGTAATTACTCACTGAAGTGTCGTAATGCAGCGATTCGGGTCGGCAAAGAACCACTTCAGCGACTTCTCCATACGTCTTACGTCGTTTTATTTTTCACGCAGCACCTTCCATCACTTGGCCTGCGATAGATAATTCATCGATGGTCATACGGAAACTTGACGCTACAAACCTGCTCCGGGAAACTCGGACGCCGATACACAGCAACGTAATACCAGACCAGTTCGTTTAATGTTAAGATTTGATCCAGTCCACACGGCAACCTGTGGCATGAAAGTCGTTTGGAATATAAGCAGGACGAGAGTACACATTCGTACTTGCACATCTGGACTGGCCAAACAGAGAACGAAATTTCATGAAGATGATCCCGGAAGTAAACAATCTTCCGTTCGCTGAAGATTACAGTATGTTCAGGTTAAAAAATATCATGTAGATAATTTACAGTGAATGAAGATTTCGGAAGAAGGCACGAGTCTAGCGTCACTGATCATTGCTTTCTCAAACGAAATAAATTGACAAGCTGCAGAACTGAACAATACAGCATTTTCCAAAAGACGTGCGTCACTCACATGCTCTCTAACAGCTGACAATGGTAGTGGAATGAACGTATTTTCTAGAATAGCGCCCGAGTCAGATTCCCATGTCAGCCGCGTGCAAAGAAACCTTCACTTTTTCCGCAACGCACATGGATGGTTCCATAAAAAACGTTCAGCTGCTTGGATAAAAATTTCAACTGCAACTCCGGGATTTGAAGCTTGTGAGGCTCGGACAGTGCAGGCACACAGAAGATTCTCTTCGAAAGAGGACGAACGAATGTCATAGCTTGTACCCAAATAAACTCATTTTTACTTCATCTTGCTTTAAAAAACCCTCGCGGACGAAAACTAACAATTTCGAATCGGGGCTCGACCAGAGATTCAGTAGAGAAAATGTACCACTTGAGGGTTTTGTACCAACAAAAATCAGCGCAGACGACAGAAACAACTGCAGACATAAAGAAGAATGCTTCAAGAATTTCAAGCAAGGAAACTGGAGCACGGTCAGAAGCCAACGTATACGAGATTGACAAGTTGGAATACGATGTATCCAAATATATACATCAAATGTGATCGGCCAGTAAATAAAATGAAAAACAAACATGGCCAAACGCACGATTAAGCGGCCACGGGATAACATGAGAACACAGATACGCTCTCGGGAGTTCGAAAAATAAGTTACCATATCACCCAGATCGGATAGCTCCCGCATCTACGGAAACTTCAGCCAGCTGTTTTCGGAAACGGAACCAAGCTCTGAACTGCACTGTAAGGCACGCAAGAAAATACTAGCTTTCCAGTCAAACTGCAGTCCATTATCCGACAAATGCTCGGCGACACGCTAGATACTTGGAGTCAGCAAATCTTCAAGGTTGCGTCTCGCAACGCCTCACGTCAACCGGGTCACGAAAGGGGATATGAACCCCCAGCGGAGACCCGAGAAGTAAACGCGGTTCATGAGCAATAGATCACCTCGCAATGATAGCCGGGACCAGAACTAAATGCACATCATAGCAAAAAGTCCGGCTCAGAAACAAATCTGAAGGCACTTCGATTATTTTCCAAACCACTGCGACGAACGATTCCCAATCGCCGCTATCCGAAACTCCTTTGAATGAGGAGGTACGTCGCTTCGTAATAAAGTAAAACGAACCAGTCAAGTCTACAGTTCCAAAGAAAACAAAAAGAGATCTTTCACAAGAAATTGCTCGAAGATTCGTGACCCGTTTCCCACTCTTCTTCGAGAAAATCTGAACCTTGCCTTACAAAACATCAGGTTAAAGTTCCCAACATTCCTAATTATATAAAATAAGTCTTTAAAGCAATTTGCGTAGACGTAGAGGAAGACGAAACGCATCGTAAACCGGGAAAACCCAAGGTTCCAGGTGAAGCGCACGTATCATACTTTTCGAATGGGATTTCCACTGTAGCCGACCAACACATTTACGAAAAATATGACATTTTTCTGATTCCGAACATAAAAAATAGCATACAACTCATCCAAAAAACAAAATTCACGCATGAATCGGTCAACCATGCACAATCTCTAACGATTATGTACAAACCCACTTCTCCTTCTCAAAAACAATCCGTCACAAGCGACCGCTAACCGTGGGATTGTCAGCCAAATGACTGACGTTCTTTCTCTTTCTTACCGATTAAAAACTCAAAAAACTGGGGAAGATCACATCTCACAAATTCCTCCCACTAACGAGGACCAACACTACTCAGTATGGCCAGACCTCAGCATAGAACAAAACACAACAACCCGATCGTGCCATGAAGTCCTCTCGGAAGCCAGAGCGCAATCCAAAAGCGCACGAACACCTCCGAGTGAACACCTTTTGCGGAGGAACAACTTTTGCTCCCATAGCTTGTCTATCGATCAGCATAAGATATTCAAAGCGGAGGAATGCCTCGCGGGAAGACTAGCAAAACGCGAAACTGTTTTCTTTTTTCGGGGAGAGGGATCCAGTTTCGGCATGGTGGTGTGGTCGATCAGGTCTCACTAATTCCACCTGAGGGTCTCACTTGAAAAACATAGCCAAAACAAGGAAAACGCTCATCGTTTACTCGGCGAGGATGGGCCGTTGTAGTCCCAGTAGGAATTGTACATAATATTTTGGTCGCCTCCGTTCCCGATGGGGATTTCACTGTATGGCTTCGAGTGAACCGCCATGTGACTACCGGGCATGAGCTGTCCATTCGCTTGTCCGTTCACAGGCCCATAATCCGACATCGCCACGTTTGGCCCGTTCATATGAGGTGGGTAAAAATACGTGTGCTGCGGGCTAACTTTTTGCGGTCGATAAGCCATCCCGAAGTGAGCTGTTCCCGGACCGGGAGACGGTGGCTCATCTGAGTCAGCTCCGATGATTCCGGATCCGGCAAGTGAACCTGCAGTCTCTGAAAATAACAGAATAATCGGATAAAATCCTACGAACACAGGGGTTATCTTCATGCCGCAGAACGAAAAAAGAAGAAAAAAAAAAAGATTTGAGCTATGAACTTACGATCAATTTCGATCTATGAAGAACAAACGAAATACGTCGGACATACAGTATGCTACATTGGCACTTTGGAGGGATGAATCTGCGAGTTTTGCAATGAAAGGCACGTAAAAAGAAAAAAAATATTCGAAGAAAACTTGAGAGAAAACACCCGAGTACATTTTCAGAATGAATTTTCGATCATTAATAATTAAAAATAGCGAGAGATGACTTATGATAGCACTGTACTTCAATCGACTCGAATGAGAATATTACTTGGAATATTTACTGTCATGCATTCAACTTCTTTTCCCACCAGAATCTCATATGAGAACGAAAAAAATCACCGTCAGCTTTCAATGCTAGGCAATCGAGAATCCAGTAGCATGGGCAACTGCAAGTTATCACATACCAAGAATACATTACATGGATTCCCTATAAAGCTTCACACCGAATTGAGGACGGATAATTCGTTCAGTCTGCCATGCTACAATGTAGCGGAATAAATGAAAAATCCGAGCATCCGCGAGCACCGACAGATGAATCAAACCCTGGCGATTTTTCGCGCATGATGTAATTTTTTCTACGGAACCAATAAATCTAAAATGTAATTACCTAAGGCCGCCGGAAGAACTCCAACTCCTCGTTTCACGACCAATCGAACAGTAGGTCCAGCTTTGATTAGCTCGATAGCATCCGCATGCGCCATGTCTTTTGTATTCATGCCATTGATTTCAATTATTTGATCGCCAACCTTAAAAAAAACATGAGCATAAAATGCAGGCATGAATAAATCGAGAAGTTAGACATCTAAAAAGTCATTTACATTCAGACGTCCATCCAATGCTGCGGGACCATTTTCGGCCATTCTCAGCACGAACAAAGGCATGTTCATGAACTCCTTACCACCGCGGATCGAAAAACCGAAGCCTCTTTCCCCACGAGCAAGCTCCACCGAATAATACTCTTCGTCTATTCCCTCCGATTCACCCTATCGACGAGACGACAAGCGATTCTCTTTAATAAATGTCGACCATTTATGGTTATTAACTTACCCTGTGCGAGGTTGATGCGGTGCTGGAATTGTCATCCGCTATTTAAAAAATGAGAGAGAACATGATCAAATTGAGGATATTAAATTAGATTGACAAAACTAAGAATAAGCAGCATTGGCACTTACGACAACGAAATTATGAACGAGTTCGGAAAAGAAAAAGATAATCATGGTGCTTATCACGACGCGGCTGCCGAAAAATATATCAATTTGTGTACACGTCCTTTCCGAAGGTATTTCCTCTATAACTAATGAATATCTGAGACTTTGAACTATTTCTGTGAGCGAGATGCACAGTATAAATCAATTATTCAGTGATAAAATCTACAGACTTCTTAGCTTAACATCACCGAGATCTGCAAAATTTCGTGCATTAGGCTTGTCGAAGTTGATTAGGTATACATAATTCCAATTTTTAGGCGTTCAACTCATACGGGAAATAACGAACACGATTTACCTTGAGGTGGACCAATCCGAAGCGTGACTGAGTAGCCGGAATCTTTGATCATGGAAACTATGTCACCGTGCGGGAGATGTAAAATACTCTGCTCATTCACCGCCAAGATCCGGTCGCCAATGTGCAGCTTGCCACACCGTTCCGCTGGACTTCCTTCGATTATTCTCCCTGAAAAACGAAAATCAACAAATTTCAACCAATTTCTGTAGTAATATCCTTGATCTGACGTACCTATGGTGGAGCCGGCTTTCGCGAGCGAAGAAATGATCACAAAACCGAAACCTTCGTTCTCTCTCCTAGTTACCGTAACATCGTACGGGTATATATCTACTCGGCCGGCATGCTCTGAAAATATCAATAAAAAATCGTATGTTATTTGCAAGGGCAAGCTTGTAACCTTGATTGTATTGATCGCATCCATCAAGCTTCTAAGGTATAAGTGATACACAATGTAATCACCTGGAGAGAAATGTGTGTTCGGATTTGATGCAGGTCTTCGGATAGTCAAGGACACACGACCGTTTACTGCTGCCGCTGACATCAAGTTAATAACGTGATGATGAGAGGCATTGATAACGGAGTGACCGTCGATCGCAACAAGCTCGTCACCATGACGTAACCGACCGTCAGCTGCGGCTGCGCCTCCGGGAAGCACCTGACCGATGGACACCTGCGAGCTTTCTTCTGCGCCACCCAGTATTCGGAATCCGAAGCCCTCGTCCATTCGAGGCAACGTGATCACAGTGTCAACGTAGTCTATAGCCCCTCGTGCACGGTTGCCAAACGTCACCTGACGACCGTGCATCAAATCTTTCGGGATCCTATCGTAAGGATACACATGGAAATTACTTAAATTTTCAAGAACCAGCAACGAAGCGATCAATAAATCATTAATGTACGATAATTCATCGGGATTATCAATGCAACGGAAATTAACCTCCGAGCATCGAAAGAATAGACAGAGACGATTTTTCGGGATTCACAACCAAGAAATGCGAAGTTGAAATTACAGTAAAAATAAAAAATAAATGCACCGTGCATCATTCCATAGCAGCTAAGTTAGAAACGCAGTAAACATTTTCAGGCGGGAGGATGGGACTACCGTTGCTCAAAATTATTCGGCAGAGTAGATTTTAAATGTCTTCGTTTTTCAGTATCATATTTGAACGTCAAAGCGATAAACGAATATCCAAATGGGAGTGATTTTGCTAGGTAACGCAAGAACAATTTTACGGCTGAGTTCAATACACTGAAAAAAAAATCCGAATTCCTTGAAATTACTAGCTACAAGAGCCGCCGCAGGTACTCGAGTAAACAACAGATAAGAGCTATGTACTGCCGCCATAGACCCAAATAATGACTGCCTGCAACAAATTTTCTCGTCCGCAAGGCAATCAGATTAACCATGGAGTGACGCAGATGCGATCAAAATACTCACCGAACGAGAGGACTTGGGGATGGCTGCTCATGCTCGAAGCTTGTGCTTTCCTTCCGAACTTGAGGTGAGACATATTGAGCTCGAGGAGAATAGCCATTCCTGTAAGCGTAATCATGATTTGGATAGTCACGGTTCACGCTGTTGTAACCTGAGCCAGAGACATCGTGGTGTCCGTACGGTCCATCCATTCCATATTCACCAGTTTCCGCTGAACTGTAGAAGTACTGGCCAAGGTACTGCTGTTGATACATTTCGGCACCCGGTGGGGATTGCGGTCCATGTTGCGGGTAAAACTCTTGCTGATTTTGAAAAAAATCTCTGGTGTAGGGGTCGTTGGCGGGATAATCCAACTGATTTCTGCCATGGTTAGAGTCATCGGGCTTCTCTTCATCAAAACCATAACAAGCTGAACCTCCGTAGGAATGAGTGTTGTCCGAAATCGCTTCCTTCGTCACAGACGCACCAGGCTGAACATTTCTTGACGAAATGTGCGCCGCACTGAACTGCTGAGCCAAGAAAGCAACATTACCACTACGAGTGGTCTCAGGTTCACTGGATTTTGGCACGAATCCACTAGAATATGAAAACGCTCCCGGAAACTGTTTGTTTGGACTATTCAGATTCCCGCTCTTATTCTGCAGTCGTATGTCCAACAATGGGGTTTTTGGTCGGTGCGGAATAATTTCTCTTGGTTCAGTACGGTATAAGTCTGCTGTAGGAGTTTTGCTTCGGAACAATCCAAACCCGGCGGGTTTTGTACTACGCCCGATTCCAGAGTCAGAGTTAGCTCCACTATCACCATCGCCGCGTCGGAACCGGTACACGCTACGGAATATGAGAATTCTTGCTTCTTCCTCCATGGGACACTCAGACAACACTTGCACTACATCTGAACGAGACATTCCACGCACATCGATGCCATTGATTTCGCACAGAATGTCTCCTTCCAGCAGATTTTTGCATCGGACTCGATCGTGTATTTTTTTCACTTTCAGTTGCCCATAAGGAGTGTCTGCAATTGTGAAACCAAAGCCATGCGCACCCTTAATTATCAGGACAGTGAAATGTTCAGCAGTGGGGCCGACTTGCACTTCACTTGCACTTTCCCCTGAACGAACGAGGAGATCAGCACTTCCAGGTCTCATGTGGCTACCATCAGGACGTCTGTCTTTTGCATCATTCGTGAGATCCGGCATGGATTTAGCAGATCTGCTCATGCTGTCATCTGAATGATTTGTACTCTCCACTCCATCAGGGCCATCTTGCCGTCGATCATATCCACTCGAACGCATATTGTGTGGACCATCTTAATACAAAGCAGAATGTTTTTAAATCATGAAAAGAGCTTTCACTTCATTGACTCACCCAAAGAACTGACCGCAACAGTGGTAACAATTTCTGTATTGGGATCATTTGGATCAAAAGGTAGTGGATACCCCCGACAAACAGTCAAGTTCACGCGTTCTCCAACACCAATTGCTTGGAACATGCTAACCATGTCATGATGTGTGAATCCCAACACACATGTATTATTAACATAAACCAATACATCTCCAGTCTCCAATCGTCCATCTTCCCAGGCAGGTCCATAGTGAACCACACTTTTGATTTGTAAAAATTCTTCCTCGTGATCATCACCACCAACTATAGTGAAGCCAAGTCCTCGAGGTCCTTTCAGTAAAGACGAATGAATAATATTGCCCATGAGTTGGTTAGGATCTCGGGTGAAGAACAGTCGCCCTTGGGGCATTCTGGGCTCGGACTGATGAATCAATTGATGAGGCACATTGCCGTTGATTTCATTTGGATCAGCTGAAAAGCAAACAACTCTCAGCAAGATGAATGAGGACAATTTTCGAAATTGACCTACTGTTACAGTAGTAAGGTGGTTGATTTGTTCCTCTGTAATCTTCGTTCAATTGGTCAGGGCCCATCATCTGCTCTCGTTCTTGCTTCAAGCGCTTTGCTTGCAGAACAGGATTTTCATATTGCGTCTTCCGATTTACATGGTCAATGTAATACGCCCCATAATGGGGATCATCGATTCTTTCCCAACCAAATGGCAGCTCATCATCAGCGCAATCTTCGAGATTCTGTTTCTGAATTTGTGAAAGTCTCGGATCTAACCAAGACGAAGTTCGAGTGGTTTTACTAGGAGAAAAATAAAGATATTTTACTATAAATGGAAAAATCAAGAAGAGCATGAGTTCGTCTTACTCAATAAAATATGGCTCTCCTTTCTCAGTGAAGGCCTTTTCCCAATTGTCTCCAAGCGGACCAAGCTCTGGAGTAAGTGGACGGTTCATAAATTGTCGGTACGATGCGCTAGCAGCATCAAAATAGGGTGCCTCTGCATTTGCAGGGGGAGCCTCCATTCCGTCTCCACGATTCCCTGCAAGCATTGGAAATTTAACAATTGGCAATACAAATATGGTATATAAAGCTCACCATTTGGACCTGGAGGGCTTGAAAGATCCGATTCAGGAAGATCAGCCATTGCCACAGAAAGATCATTCGATCAACAAGATTCAGTGAATCTTCTGGAAGCAGCTCGACTGCAGATGAATCAACAATTCATGATTCACCGGACTTTGAAACTAATGACACAGGAAGCAACTCACCCTGAAATCACCATGGTACAACACAATCAAACGTTCAAACAAGCATGAACGTAACACGATTAGGTTGAGCATCCTTCGGCCAAGTCAGAAAACCAGCATTGAGCATCGGATGGCAGCACACTTCGCTTTCCGATGATCAGCATGGTAGAAAAGATCATAACACAGCCAGGTCACTTGCCAAACACAGCATATACAACCAAACCTGCAAGTAATTCATCAAGAAAACATTAGTTCAGTACATTTCGAAGATATTGAGCGAAGACGCGAAATAAATGCAGTAAAGGACACTATAAAATCAAATGAAGTCCATCTTACGACACTTCTTGAAGCACTAGATTAAAACTGTTATCAAACTTGAATAAACACACAGAAGAATTTAATCATGAAATAAATGCAGAAATTCAAAACGTATTACTTGGATATATTCTGCCGAACAGGCAGCACACCTTTAATTCTGGATTGGCGCCCAGCAAGTTAGGATATACAGTAACATAGTTACGTATATCACAAGCAGACATGTACAATCACAGCTCCAACAAGAAATACATCACAATCCATGCAATTTGCCATTTTGACAGACAACGTTATACAAGGACCAAGTTCAACCGAAAATTAAAAGCCTCAACACTTGGTCCCTGCACAGTGAGCAACAAGTAGTTCGTTTCCCACAAAAATGCATACAATTTAAAATTATCTCCGATAGTCACACATATTGTGACCAAATTTATCCTAAATCAGCCATCATAGGTCCTCAGACATCCAAGCCTACTCCATATTGTTTGGATTTGCGCAGACTACAAGTCTGTACACATCCACTCAGCCCCAACACCCCAGGAAAGCAGGCATTTGTAAAAAAAAAAGCATGTAACTACCCATATCAAACCAATATTCCATGGCTGCCTGGATATGGGTGAATTTTGGCAGCAGACCCCAGTATTACAGTACCTGTGTCACACCTGTATACCATGGGTGCACTGATATGGGTGTTTTTTGTTGAGCAAAGGTAAGTAAAGGAAGAAATTCACACAAATGGAGGCAACAGCATTGCTTAATAAAAGCAAAAGGCGCAGTGATATGGAAATGTCTCAATGTGAGTGCATTGAACTGATGCTGCATCCAAAGTTCAATATCCTTGCACCACCACTCTATTTCCCTTAAACTGCACCATTTACTTTTACCAGAATTCTACATTGCCCTGACACTGAGCAGATTACCTCTACCAGATATCTTCAATTCCGTCACGTTGTGCAATTTCCCATACACTGCACCGTTTACTTTCACCAGGCCAAGCCATTTCCTTCACATTGGGCCACTTTCCTCATGCTGCGCCATTTATTTTCAACAGACCATTTCGTTTGCCCTCGAGAGGCTCATATATGGTTCCTCAAACAAGTTTTTATTCTTACTTTTAACTCACTCTATTCTCAAATGTTTTCAAATTAAAAATGCAAAAAAAAAGTGTTTCAGTGTACAACATTTTTGAGTACGTCAATGCTCACGTTTTAATTTTTTCAAGTCCAAACTACCCGCATGAAGCACGTTGTAAATTCAACAAGCTGTTCAAGGCTTTTCCTAAAAACTTCATCGAATGGACGGAAGAAACGCAGATCTGTTAGATTCGTGCCAGGTGTACCTTAACATGGAACACTTTTATTTTCTCTAAGCCAGTATCAGTTCAGAAGAGTTAACCTTATTTATCATTTAGTAAAAGTTATGTATGTCATTATTGTGGAAGGATGAAATTTTGTTTTGGAAGCGTGATTTGCATGACGGCCCACGACGCCCTAAGCGACCGCAAACTGCGGGATTGTCAGCCAAATGACTGACGTGCTTTCTCTTTCTTACCGATTAAAAACTCAAAAAACTGGGGAAGATCACATCTCACAAATTCCTCCCACTAACGAGGACCAACACTACTCAGTATGGCCAGACCTCAGCATAGAACAAAACACAACAA